GGGCGCCCCCCAGCAGACCAGGGACACCCGAGCAAAGCCGCCGCCTGGGCGGCTTTGTTCGTTTGCCCGGGAGCAAAGCCGCCCAGGCGGCTTTGCTCCTGTCCCCCTGGTCTGCTGGGGGGGTGCAGCAGCTTTGCTGGACCCCCCCCCAGCAGACCAGGGAGACCGGGAGAAGCTTTTCTTGCCCCGGAGGACACGGGTGGACGACCCGCCGCCTGTGAGCTCCAGGGCGAGAAAAGCCCCGATCGTAAGTGCGGATCCGACGTAAGTCAGATCCGCGTAAGTCGGGGACTGCCTGTAATGTATAAAAAGTATGGAATTTATAGTTCTGATATGAGGCTATTGAAATACACTAATGATTGTGGAACATGTTTGCTTTGTTGCAGTTACGGTATCAGAAGTGCTTGGTAGCCAGACCTCCTTCACAGAAAGTTCGACCACCCCCTCCTCCTGCAGACTCGATGACCAGAAGAGTCACAACTAATGTCAAACGAGGAGTCTTGTCCCTTATTGACACTTTAAAACAGAAGCGTCCTGTTTCTGAGATGCCATAGCTGCTCAAGGGAAAGGATTCTTGTAACACTTAATTGAAGATAAAATAGCTACACTAAAGAAAATGAACTGATGTTCGACCTTCCATTTTAAATTGCTGATGCTTTGTCTTCAAAGAATTTATCCATATCAAAACAATGTTAGACAAGCATGTTCTCTCGTTCTTGCCATCATCATGTGATATGAAAAGACGCATGAGTGATTTTTTTGCTGTCAGTGAGTTACATCATGAGCAGTGGAAGGTCTATTTGATTGTAAATATTATGAACATTACCTAAATTCACACAAAAACAGAATATGGCCACGTCCCTCCTAGTGAACTAATGTTAAAGTCCTTGGAGTGATTGCCTGAATTATAGTTTCACCATCTTCTTGAGCTGGATTTGTCACAAGAAAACCATTAAATCCTACAGCACTTTGCCCTGTTTTCAACACTGGAGTAGGTACAGAGTATTAGTTACCATAAATTACTGTAGTTTAAATACCAAGTTTTATTTTTACAAACTGTACCTGTTAGTGAGTTTTAAAATGTGTGTTGGCATTGGTTTAGCAACCACTTTATAACTTGGCCTGACATGCCTTTTGAATCATAGTGATCCTATTTCATTTAATGTTTATGTATTATGATTTTGGAGAAGAAAAGTTTTGAGTAATTCAGAGCAGGATGCATCACCTGTAGCCTTTCACCCCAAAACAGAAAAAATTTTACCTGGGGCTGTTAAATCTATTCTTGAAAATCCTACATGGTGCAACAAAAATGTGATTTATTAAACTGTAGGTTCTTACCATCTAGAATTCTGAGAGGGACCTATTCAGAACTGTTAGATATGATACAAACTAGAACGCTACACATTGTCCCTGTCTTACTCCTGCGTGCAAACTTTCAACTGAAGGCCTGATCACAACGTTCTTTCATTTGGAGTTTGGTGCTGTGTTAGTAATTACATGAGATGCAAAGAAAGGACTATTACATTTTTTGTTGTGCAAATCTGTTCCCATTTATACCACGATGAGGTTTCATTTTACTTTTATGCCCTTTTTTGTAGCAGCTCTCAACAAAGGAATGATGGAGCTACATGTAGTATAATCTGATTTCAGAGCTTTTGTTCCAAAGCTCCAGCTGTGTTTGTTCACTCAACTGTAAATTCTTTGACAACAAACTGGGTAGTATTGCCCCTTAAAAGCATACATTGTACTAACCTTTGAATGCACCTATTTGCTTATCTTTTTTCTGTGTTTTTCTCCCTTGCCACAGCTATAGGTTGGTACTACAGTAAAAATGAAACATTGCAGATTTTTTTAACAGTGTTAAAAAATTTCTGTCTCCATTGTTAGATGTCTGCCCTGAAGGCTGATCCATCTGGGTCTGCTGACACTATCATTCTAAAGCCACAGTGTCTATATGGCTATAGTGGCTACTGCTATAGCAAAGTAGCTATGCTCAACTGGTCAAATAGACACACGTGGCTAGCAGCTAGCATGTTGGATACCACAGATCTAAAGGGACATTGTCAAGATCGATAGGCCCAGAACTTGATCTAGTTTTCCCTTTATATCTGTTTAGTAGAGGCATTGTTTTACATTAATGGTTGTGTATTTTCTGGTTTCAAATTGGTGGCAGTTGCTATTCTTGAGTTACCCCAGTAACAAACAAATTAAGCTGTGGATGCAAGGGCCAAAGCATGATGATCACTTTTACCTTTTAGTTTGTAAAGGAATTATGGGCAATTACTAAAAAAATGAACTTGGCATGACAGAAATGTGACTATACTGGCAAATGAAAAATTGATGTTCAGGTAGTGTAGAAAAAGGTTCAGCTCCATGGACACGAGCTGAGAAGGCCAGTGCCCTGAAATCCTCAGAACCCAACTGGTGCCTTTTGTGGCTCTGACTTGACTGAGATGTCTAGGCACTACTGTCATATAAAGAATAATATAACACAATGGGATACCCTTAGCTAAAACACTTGCCTGTGGGCCCAGTTCAGGAAGGTATTTAAGCATGTCCTAATTTTAAATCCCTGTTTAAAGCTAAGCAAGTGCTTAAGTCCCAATGCAGGAACAAGGTACAGGCAGTCCCCGACTTACGTGGATCCGACTTACGTTGGATCCCTAGATACGAACGGGGTGAGGCAACTCCCGCACATGCGCAGCAGCATTCCCGGGGCTCGCTCACCTGGGTCCTAGGATCCTCCTCCTCCTCGGGCCGGCTCCGACTGGGGTCCCGCAGAGCTGCCGGGCAGAGGAAAAGTGCCTCCCCCCACCCCCCTGCCAGCAACAGGCTGCCCAACAGACAAAAGCAGCCTCTCTGCCCCTCCCCCCCTCTATACATGCCCGGCTC